CCGGGATCGAGTCCCACGTCGGGCTCCCTGCTCAGCAGGGAGTCTGCTTCTCCCTCTGACCCTCTTCCCTCTCGTGCTATCTCTCATTCTCTCTCTCCCAAATAAATAAAAATCTTTAAAAAAAAAAATTTTTTTTTACATTCTTTAATCATAGTAATTCCATTTCTAAGAAGAGAGCCAAAGGATATATCAATGTAATCAAAGATAATACTTTTAAGGATATTCATCACACTGTTGTTTATAAAGAGAAAACTGGAAGTAGCATATAAGAAGATAAACCATTTTTTTAAAAAAGATTTTCTTTGAGAGAGAGAGACAACACAAGCAGGGGGAGGGGTAGAGGAAGAGGGAGAAGCAGTCTCCCCGCGGAGCAGGGAGCTTGACGTGGGACTCAATCCCAGGACCCCAGGATCATGACTCGAGCTGAAGGCAGACGCTTAACCAACTGAGCCACCCAGGCACCCCGTACAAGAAGATATATTATGCTACAAAAATGTGTCCAAAAGAAATGGTAACATTTAAGGGAATGTTTAATATCATGGAAAGTAATTAATGATATATGGATAATTTCTTAAAAAGCAAGCTAGATTGGTATACATAATAAACTTCCATATCGAAAGAGTCCTATGGATCAGAAGATACTATAAATGAAAAGGCAATAACTTGGGAGGAAATATTTTCAACATGTGTAAGAATAAAGGCTTAAACAACAAAAACACCTATAATTAGGCTATTCAGAAGAAATATAACTCACAAACACATGAAATGGTACCTCGCCTTGAAAATTAAATAAATTCAAGCTAAAAATGAAAATATTTGTTGCCTGTCATGTTAACAGATAAAGGGACAAAAAACTGTTATGGAGGGCAATTTACAGTATCTATTAAAATTTTAAATATGCATATTCCTAGCATTTCTACTTCTAGGAACATCCTTCAGAAATATTGTAAATGTACAAGGATATTCATTACAGCACTTTGTAATACTGTAAAATTGGAGGGGACCCAAATCTTAATAAATAAGGGATTGGCTAAATAAGCTATAAGATACTCATACACAGAATAATATATATGCATTAAAAAGAATAAAGTCACCAATAAGTTCTAATGGGTAAGACACCCAAAATATTATAAAAACAAGGTGCGAAGAGTATGTATAATATCCTTAGGGAAAAAAAAAGTCAGACCTAGGAAAGAAAGGAACCCTCACCTGCTCTGTTATCTTATACAGTATTTATATTTGAAATAATTTTGTACTAACTAGCATACATTTTAAAGCATCTTAAAATAGTATATATAATATGATCCCATTTTTGTAAAATAAAAAAACATGTATATAGTTTTGCATGACGGACTAAAAAATATGCACTGAATATTTTTTTGGCACATGGGAGTTTGGATATTATTTTTCCTGTATTTTTTCTTTTATATGAAAATACTTATTAATTTTCTAGTAAGAAAAAAATTAGCTGTTAAAAAGATTCAGGCTTATCAAAAACTAATGATGTAATGTATGGTGATTAACATAACAATAAAAAATTATTTAAAAAAAAAGATTCAGGCTTGTAGCCTATCTTTAGGATTAGAACCACCACTGCTCCCCCTCCTTGTCTGTGTTCCCAGCTCAGCCCTGTCCTAAGGCAGGGCAGGCTGGGTGTTTGGCTCACACTCAATCCCACAGAAGTGTCTCTAGACTTCTGGCCTAGAATACCCAATTTCTTTGCCTAGGGCTATGATGTCAGAGGTATCCTTCATTCAGCAACCTCTAAGGGGGATAAACTGAGACTCAGGGAAAATAAACACGGCTAATAGTAAATTCCCACTCAAAAACACAGAGTGGTGGCAAAGCAGTGGTCTTCACTGATCTTTATTAAATGAAGGATTCCAGGGGCAAGCAGGAGGGATCAAGAGCAACAGCAGGAGCAAATATAAAAGTATAAAATGTAAAGTGCAGCACTGGGCAATGTGTGCAGGATTGAGCCATGCCCACAGGGACCTTGGGGACACAAGGCTGAGGACGAGCCATAGCCCACCCTCTAAGGGAATCTAGGCCTGAGGAGCCTGTGCAGGGCTCTTGGCTGGGGGTGGAAGTGGCTTAAATGGGGCCCAACCTTGGGCCTTGAAGTAGGAGACCAGTTGTGTGGGTACTTCCGCGAGCACAGTCTGTGCCAGTGTCTCCCGAGGGGCCTGCCAGAAGAAAAAGAGCAAGGTCAGTGGTGATCCATAACAGCTTCCCAAAGTTTACATTTCATACCCAAAAAAGGATACAAAGGATATAAACCCCAACACCCAACCCTGCCCCAATGCAAGGGTGAGTATCCCCACTCAAGAGAGGGGGAGGGATAAACTCCCAGATCTGGTCTTCCCCCAGGCTTGCTCCCACTCACATTCTGGAAGCGGCGGTAGGGCACAAACTGCACTATGTCACGGGCAGCTGCCTCCCCGGAGCGTGCACGCAGGGGTCCACCATCAGCATCCAGCTGCTCCATGGCCTCGAAGTCAGCACCACCCACACCCACGATGATCACTGACATGGGCAGGTAGGAGGCACGCACCACAGCCTCACGTGTAGCCTCCACATCTGTCACAGCGCCGTCAGTCAGCAGCAACAGCACCAAGTATTGCTGGGGATAAGTCCATTCACAAACTGAGGCAGACCTTCTAAACACCCCAGCCACACATTCCCATACTGATAAGAAGTCTCTTGTTACATATCCCTGAAGGGAACCGTTGACCAAGACAGCACACCACCACCACTACCTCCCATGATCCTCACCGAGGCAGTCCTCTGATGTGCAGCCTGGGTTGCCAACCTGGCCACATGGTTGATGATGGGTGCAAAGTTGGTGGGGCCATAGAGGCGAACCTGGGGCAGGGCTTGGCGGTAAGCATCCACAATGCCCTGGATGCCTAGGAAACGAAGGCAAAAAACACTGTAAAATACCAATCCTGACATCACCCCACCCTGGCCGAGGAGATTTGGGAACCTGGGTGCATTTCATTCAATCACCCCTATAACCCAAGGTACTTAACTTTATCCTACAGACGGGAGAACTAAGAACAAAGAGAAGGGCACTTGCCCTAAATCACAACTTGAGTTAAATCTGATTAAGGGGATGCCCTGAACAAATCTAAGATAGTTAAGCATCAGATTATAACCCACTTAATAAAATAATGAATTATAATCCATTTAATAAGAATCCCTAGATAATTAATTAATGGGAAAGAAGAGGAAACTCTTAATAAATGTAGGAGGAATTACAAAATCTTTGACAATCACTGATTGCAAAGATCATCAATAGGTGCTAAAACTATAGGGTACTAGTTAATGAGTAACTGGATTTTTTTTTTTTTTAAGATTTATTTGACACAGAGAGAGACAGCAAGAGAGGGAACACAAGCAGGGGGAGTGGGAGAGGGAGAAGCAGGCTTTCCGTGGAGCAGGGAGCCTGATGCGGGGCTCAATCCCAGGACCTTGGGATCATAACCTGAGCCTAAGGCAGATGCTTAATGACTGAGCCACCCAGGCGCCCCTGAGTAACTAGATATGGATATAGCCTCATGCTATCTTCCCCACAGATACTTATTAATTACAAATAGTGGACAAACCTGGTAGACTCTACCTTTTTTTTTTTTAAATGTTTTTGTTTTTTAAGATTTTATTTATTTATTTGAGAGAGAGAGAATGAGAGACAGAGAGCACGAGAGGGAAGAGGGTCAGAGGGAGAAGCAGACTCCCTGCTGAGCAAGGAGCCCCATGCGGGACTCGATCCCGGGACTCCAGGATCATGACCTGAGCCGAAGGCAGTCGCTTAACCAACTGAGCCACCCAGGTGCCCTGGTAGATTCTACCTTAACCAAGTGATCAAGGTTAACAAGACTGGTAATAGGATAAATCAACATCAGGGCCTCCTGACATGGGGTACTGAGAGAACACATAGCATCGCTTCTGTAATATGCCCACCAAAACTGCATAATCTGAATCTAATCATAAAGAAATATCAGGTAAACCCAAACTGCAGGACATTCTACAAATTACCTAGCCTGTAATCTTAAAAAATGTCAGTATCGTGAAAGACAAGAACAACTCTGGAAGACAAAACAAACAAATGCATTATGTGATCTGAGATTTTCTTTTACTGTAAAAGACAACTGGCAAAATGAATAAATCCTAGATTGGATAATGGTATTGATGTTAACCTCCTGATTTTGAGAACTGTACTGCAGTTACATAAGAGAATGTCTTTGATTTTAGGAAACATACACTGATATATTTAAGGGATGAAGGGTGCAAAGTTGGTGGAGCCACAGAGGCAAACTTGGGGCAGGGCATATTCACTATAATTCTCAAACATTTCAGGGAAAAAAAAATGTGTATACACACACATAAATATATACATGTACATACAGATGTAGACATATGGCTGTATCTATATACATGGGGGGGGCAGGGAGGGAGCAGAAGGGAGACAGAGAATCTGAGTGACAAAGAAGGTAAACAATAGCCCCTGTGACCCAGGCCCTGACCACTGAGCTCCAATGACCTAAACCCCCTATAACTACTCACAACTTTTCAGGTCAAGTTTTCCCCTTTAGTTTGTTGCCCATGTGGGGGTACTGGGGAATCACAAGGTTTGGCTCTCTCTAGACAAAAGAGCTTGGGCAAAAAGCACCCTGAAAAGAGCTGCACCAAGGCTTCCACTGATGCCCAGACAGGTACCAGTGAGCTTCCAGGCAAAGGTAATGATAACAGCTACCATTTTTTAGAGAGCGCTTAGTTATGTGCCAGGCTTACTGCTTCAAAGTCTATATGTATCCTCTCCTTAAATATTCAATATCCTACAGTATTTATCGTTTTTATGAAGCCAAAGCACAATGGCCCCAAGTCACATGGTTTCAGAAAGAGGCAAGATAAAGATTTGAGACCTAGATTTGAGTCCAGAGACCTAGCTCTAAAATCCACTCCTCTGGACAACGGAGTCAGGTATCTGCCCCATTACCCCCACACTCCCTTGTCTGCATAGGGTTGGCCTTCTAGGTGTGGACAAATCTGCCTTACGGTGGAGGTTGAAGGAACTTACCTGGGCAGGAGGGGTTCCTGGGGTTGAAGTTCAAGGCAAATTCATGGGAGACCTGAGGGCAAGAATGAAAATGAGGTTCTTTCTCCATGACCATCTATGTGCAAAGAAAAAGGACACTATGGTATATTCCAAGCATTGTATAGGAGCTATGTAGTCCTGAACATTTGTTATACACATGCCTGTAGGGATACATCCCTGCATCTCCACATAAAGTTGGGTGCCACACAGCAAGTCAACCACATCCCCCCAAATCAGGACCCTGACACTGAAAATAGGAGTTGGGGAGGCAAAAAGAGTGCTCACCTGCCAATCGGGGGGTACCTGGGCCCCAAATCCAAAGGCTGGGAATAGCTTGTCCCTGTGGGAAGACAGTGAGTGGGAGAAGAGACAGGAGGGGACTGTGAGCCCAGAGGCTTAAGTATCTGCAGGGAGGGGAATGGGCAAGAGAAAAGTTACTCACGAGTCATAGTCCTGAATCACACTGCCCACACTCCACAGGTTGACCCCTGTTGGGCTCAGGTAGTGCAGGGATTCCGGGGAGGAAGGATCTCCATTGGAGCCCGTGAAGTCAATGCCCACCTAGAAGGGGAGGAGGGGAGCTGAAAACCACTCTGAGACCCAGATCTGTTCTCTTATCCCTGATAAAGCAACTTACAGTGAAGTTGATTTGACAGCCTCCCATCACATAGTCCAGGAATGAATACTGTGTTTCTACCTGCAGATGAAACCAGGATCATGGCTGGGGTGAAGGGATTGGGGCCATGGAGCACAGGGGTCAGAGCCTGGGTCACATGGGCTATTGCCTCACCTGGCAAATCTTGACACAAACAGTCCCAGAGTTCTTGTAGCTTTTCTTTTTCTGCTGTTTCTCAGGGTGGATACATTCAAACTCAGCCTGGTGAGGAAAGAAAAATTAGGGTAGGAAACTCCCAGAGCATCAGCTGGAACTGGCCTGCCCTCCCTCTCTCCCTGAGGCTACAGTCCTTTAGGCCCACCTTAACACCCCTGAGCAGGGCTGGCACTCACCGGAACTGCTTGCAGCTGGGCCAAGCTGGTGTAGAAGGTACCAATGAGATCATGTGAACCATCACTGTCATAGTCTGAGCATCGCACCTGTGTGGGTGGGGGGAGTGGGGGAAGGTGTGTATGTGTATACAGAGACCAGGGGTAGGGGGCAGGTAAGAATAAATCCTTCCCCATGTCCAGTCAGGAGGCAAACTCCTCACCTGGATGGGTGTGCTGGGGTCTCCCCCACAGAAATGCTGAAGGGGAACAGAGAAGCGCTTCCATGTAGGGTTCAAGTTGTTCTTGATTACCTGAAGGTGGAGAGCAAGGCCTCTAGTGAGCTCTGAGCTGGCATATGGGGAGCTGTCATCTTTCTCTATCCATATGCAGTCTCTTTCTCCCTGTTCCAAACCTTGGTAATCACAAGCCCCAGGAGAGTCTCTCCTACCCCACTCCACCCAATCCCAGGGGTCTCACACCTCAGATCTGTATGCCAGGTGCCATTTCCCATCACCCTGACGGAAGAACTCCAAGAACGGGTCCGATTTCCCCAGGAAGTCCTGTCAATGCCACAGAGACCCGAGTATAAGACTCAGGGAGAGACAACCATTTTGCCAGTCCCCAGCCCCGCCCCCCCCTTAGTTCTTAAACCCCCAGGAACACCATCCCTGCCCCTTAATTCTTAAACCCCCAGGGCTTCCTTCCAGACACACCTTCTTATCTAGGTTTCTGGCCTCCACCTCCATGGTCACTATACGATTATCCTTCATCTCTTGAGCAGATACCTAGGAAGGGGAGGCAGGAGACTGTATCCCCTCATGAATTCCTCATTGATGTAACCCTCCTCCCCCACAGAATTCTTCCTTACCGTGATGGTCCCCCGCCCAGCAGGTTTTCCAGGCTTCAGCATCAAGGGTAGAGTTATTATCTGGCTGGACACAATCTGGGGCAAAGCAGGGGTGGGTGGGGGAGCAAAATCTCAGGCAGGGTTAGGTCTTGCTTGACCCCCACCTCCACATTCCAGACAGTCTGGGCTGTTAGGGCTCTTACTGAACATATGTCTAAAGTATTTTAATCCCTAGCCCTACATACCTGTCCTAGGGAACACTCAGCCCCTCCTAGGAAGTCATCATCCCCCAGCTCAGGTGTCTTGTTGTCTATGTCATAAATGCCAAATCGGAGCTTCTGGACTGTTTCAAAGTGGTACTCAAGCTGCAGAGTCTTGGAGAACTCGGGGCTTGAGCAGTTCCGTACTCGCTCAGTTCGGCCAAGCTGTGGGCAGAGGCCAGTACCATCACAGTCACGCACCCTCTACCCTCAAAACAGTTCTAACTGTCCTCCACAACTTTAACCCCCAAGGCCCTTCTCACCTCAGCCCAGCTGCCCCCTCCCACATCCTGTAAAAGGACGCAGAGTGGGTCAGACTTGGAGCCGATGTCCTTGTCAATGAGGTGGTCACAGGAAATGGATAGTTGAACCAAGGTCACGCAGTGGGCCATCTGGGAAAAAAAGGACCTGAGTCAAGCACTGAGGATCCTTCTCTACCCTTCCCTGACTATATGTCCCAGTTTGGGAAGGCCAGCAGGCTTCCCCCAGGCAGGGCTGAGCCTGTATCCAGCTCCATGACACCGAAGAAAGAGAAGGCCTTAGAGCCTCCATACTCCTCTAATCCCCTCAGGTGAGCTCAATGGGACAGGACATGGTGAGTACAACCAACCCTGATATGATGGGAAGATGCAGAAAAAGTATATTAGCCTTCATCAACAACTTTGAGCCCAAACTGGTCCTCACCCCAAAAATCCCATTATAGGATCCCAAGACCCAGAATCCAACCCTGATCTTCTGAGACCAATGAATCTCACTCTGACCCTTTACTGGCCCCAGATCAGACCCTAATCAAAATTCTAATCCCAACATGACCATGATCCAGATCCAACTCCCCAAAAAAGTTTCTTCCACCAATGGTTTGTCACTAATTTTCAGGCCCTGCATCTTGAGGTGGTGTTAGGATCCCAACTGATTCTCCTAGTGGGTAATCAGCTACTCATGGCCAATCACTAGTCTCACTGCCACTACCCAGTCCAAGCCACCGGGCTTATCATATTAGCCTCTTTAACTGGTCTCCCTTATCCTATGCCATCCCCACCTCCACCCTCACACCAACAGACTATTCCCAATACAGCAACCAGGTGATCCTGTTAAAACGTAGGTCAGGGTATGTTACACATCTGCCAAAACCCTCTAATGATTTCCCATTACTTAGAAAAAATGTAAACTCTACCATGGTCTCCAAGGTTTTGAAAGATCTAGATCTCTCTAACCTGATTTCCTAACACCTCTCTTGCTCACTCCATTCTGAACACACAGGTCTGCTTGCCTGCCATTCCTCCAATAAGCTTGTTTCTTCCCTCATATTATCCACATGGCTTGCTGTTTCCTCACTCCAAGTCTTTATTCAAAATCATCTTCTTATTATGAAGAAAAGGCTCTCCTTTTCTAGGTACTTAAACATTTCAACCTTACTACTACTGACGCATCACATACCTGTTTCCTGCTTTTTCTTTTTAGCATTTATCACTGATTGTCTAACATATAACCTCTCTTCCCCACTAGAATGTAAACTGAGGGAATGTAAACATGAGGGAAGGGATATCTGTTCTGTTTATTGCTCTATCCCAAGCACCTAGATAATATTTGCTGAATGAAATCCAAATGGCCATCTTCAGCCTCAGCTCCCAGCCCAGCCATCTCCAAACTGGCAATCAAGGAGCACCAACTTTTCCAATTTACTCATCTCCTTGGCTGAAAAACTATCTTCTTGCACGGCTCACCATAACTCCCATGTAGCCCCTCCTCCTACAGTCCCCCTTAACAATTACCCTCAGACTCCTTACTATCCCTGCGTCCCGCTGACCCATACACCTGCAGACTGTACCAAAAGTGCAGATGACATCAGATCTCTCACCCAGCTTCACTCAGCACTCCAGGTTTCCCAGCACTATACCCCAGGATGCCTCCAGCCTTAGCCTCCCCTAAACTGACCCTCAGTCAATCCTTCCCCCAACCTAGCCCACAGTTAGCGCTGTTCCCATCTTGGCGCCTCATGGTCTCCATCTGGAGTGCTATTATCAACATTGGAATGACTCTTACACTTTGGCTTGCTTCACATACTGCCTGTTCTTAGCACCTCAGTCTCTGCTTGAAAGCATCCAATGATGGAAAATCCACCACTCTTCTAATCCAGATAGTCCTGCTCCATAAAGTCCTACCCAAACCAACTCAAGTCTGTTGGAATTCTCATTTCTACATATTTGTCCTATTTCTCCCCAGCCTAAACTTCCACAAGGAAAGCCTTATTCCATCTCCCTCTGAGAACCCATCTGATACTTGGAAGCAGTGAAATCCCCAGCTAAAATCTGGAAAAAAAGCCCCAGTTCTTTTCAATGTTACCCCTAGAATGTGGCTTGTAGACTCTGACCTGCCTGCCCATCCCCCCTTTGGAAGTTCCCTACGAACAGATCCAGAGAAAAACACATACTCCCAAAGGAGTGGGACCACAACTTCCCCAAGTCACAATCTGACTCCATGCTTCTCACTTCACATGTTCTGTGAGGCAGTGTTTGTACAGAACGGAAACAAACGAAGAATGTTCATTTCATTATTGCTGAAACCAGTAAAACACCTGAGAATGCTTAAAGGTCTATCTATTGGGTACTAAGTAAATTATGGTACATTAACACAATGGAATGCTGAGCAGCAGGTAAAATACAAGGCAGAACTATATTATATTGGTATTATATGAAAAAATAAATTCGCAAAAAATGGTAAGAAAAGTATGACTCCATTTTAAACTTCAACTGTATGTGTATATACAATAGATTTGAATAGGTACACAAAATAAATATACAGAAAAATGGAAGGCACACCAAAAATTGCAACTTGGAGGTACACCTCAGGGAAGAGGAATGAAGGTGAGGATTTTATAATCTCTATAAACTTCTGTATTATTTCAATATTTTATAGTTTATTTTGTGTTTTTTAAAGGACTTCATTAGCTTTTTTCCCCAATCCACAACTCAAGTCCTCTTGACTATTCAAAGCCCTCTGGTTTAACAACCCCTATCTAACTTCAGGGCTCAATGTCTCTTGCCTCCTCACTGGCTTCTCCTCCTTAACAATGCCTCAGCTAGTCTTCCTTGTGTCAGCTTCCAGTTTCTATCTTAACTAGAAGTCTTACACAGATGCCCATGGCCCTTAGGTTCAGAGCCAAACTCCCTAGCAAGGCCACTTTGTAGCACAACTCCAGAGAGTACATCTGCACAGAATTCAGTAATTGTGTAATATGGTGAGCCTGCATCCCTAATTCAACCTTCAAAGCCCTTCCCAGTCTGCTCTACCTCCTGCTATTCCACCACCCAACCAACTAGTCATCCAAAGCTATTTCTGGTTCCTGGAACATACACACGCTGATACCTCTGACTTTCCTGTCTAACAAATGCCTTGTCATCCAAAGTTCTGCTATATTACTGCTTTGTGAAGCCTCGCCCACATTCCCCAAGTAAAATTTATTATTTCTCCTCTAGATGATTACATGGTTTCCTCATCATCTTCCTTCAAACACACACACACTTTTGTGTTTATTAGCCAAACAGAAACTAGACCATACCATTTCTCTGTTTAAAACTCTGGAATGGCATCCCCAAACACTCAAAAGTCCAAAGTTCTTACTGTGATCTACAAGGCCTTCCCTGAAAGACCTGACACTTAACCAATCACCTAGCCATGCAAGTATGTTCCAGCCAGGTTTCATTTCTGACCCACATACACACAACATCAATCTCATTCCCTGTATCAGAGCTTCTGCACTGTCTTCATCCATAGATACCCGAGAAAACAAGCTGTATTAGAGTAGGAACCATGTCTGGTCTGCCTAATCTATCTCCAATATCTATAACAGTACCTACCCTATAGCAGGTACTCAGTAAATTAAGTATTAGTGATATAACATTGAAACTGCCATATCAAAATTTTGACTTTTGTCTGTCTACCCTCATAATCTATGGGCTCCTTGGAACTAGGGCTGGGTATTATTTCTGTATCCCTAGTATCAGTGCTTAGTATGTAGTTAGTACCCATAATCATTTGCTGAATAAATGGTAACATTTGCTTTTGCTCAACTCCAACTTTGAGGCCTTTTCCATTTGAAATACCATCCCAGCAGTAAGTCTTCTCTATCCTTATCTTATACAACTGAGCTTTAGAATTTAAATTCAGGACTCCTGGAACTCAATATTAAGTGACAAATTTGAAATGGGCAAAAAAAAATTTGATCAGATACTTCATAAAAGAAAATAGATGAATTGGAAATATGCAAAGGAAGAGTGATCAACAGCACTAGTCATCAGGGAAATGCAAATTAAAACCACAAGATACTATCACATACCCACTACAATGGCTAAAAGTAAAAAAACTGACAATGCCAAATATTGGCAAGGGCATGGAAATCTCATACATTGTTAGTGAAAGCATTAAATATACCACTTTGGAAACTGTCTGGCAGCTTATTAGAAAACCAAACACACATCTAGTCCAAGAGCATTTCCACTCCTAGATTTTTATCCAAAAGAAAACATTATGTCCACAAAAAGATTTGTACAAGAATGTTCATAGCAGCTTTATTCATAATAGCCAAAAATTTGAAACAGCTCAAGTGTCCATCAATATGAGAATGAATAAACCAACATGTTTATACATGTATTAGAAAACTGCTCGGTAACAAAAAGAAACAAACTATTAATATCTGCAACATGGATGAATCTGAAGCATAAAATACACAGATTCCACTTATAAAGTTTTAAGACAGGCAAAACTAATCTACAGCGAAAAAAATTCAGAATACTGGTTGTTCCTCCCATGTCCCCCAGGGGAGGGGCAGGTATCAACTGAGAAGCAACAGGAGATAACTCTAGGGGGAATGGAAAAGTTCCTTATCTTGATAGGAATGTGAGTCATGAACGCATTTTTCATTTTCATCTAACGGTACACTTAAGGTGTATACATCTTATTGTATGTAAATGTTACCACCTCCCCCTGCCCAACAATCCTGTACGAAATAATGAATGCAAGACATGTTGAAATATGTATGGGTGAAGTGTGATGTTTGCAATTTCTTGAAATGCACAAAAAAAATAAAATGGATGGATATGTGGTAAAACAAATATAGGAGCATTTAAATTGTAGAATCTATTTCCTGTATAATTTTTTCAACTTTTCTGTACACTCAAAGTTTTCACAATAAAATGCTGGGGAAAAATTTAAGTGGAGGACTCAAAGTGGAGAACTCTGGGTTTATCCCTGACACTTTGTTGAGAACTACAAAAGTATTACCAGTAATTATCTGTGGTGGTGAGGTTACAGGCAACAAAGGGAGCTGCTGCCTTTTCCCTCACTCTCACTTCTCAGAAGATCCCAGACAGAGGCTTTTGATCTGGGGAAGACA